CGCGTTTCCCCATATTTTACCCGATGGAGCGATAACCATAAGGAACGTCTCCACTTGAATATATTTTATAACGATGAAGCGTCCTAGGGGTAAAACGCGAACGCTTAGTTTTATCACAGTTCCTTAGGATCATCGCGGTCCGACTAATTATATTTTCATAGCTAGTGGCCGCCTCGACCGAGGGATAAATTCCGGGTTACGCAAAGAGTCACCGGAAGTAACAACCGATAAAACGATAGACTTACGTACGTAGAATGCAGGCGACGCGTGTGAAAGAATTTTTACTGCAAATGTCGTTGTTTTCGCAAACGAAGCGTAATGGAAAGTAAATTTGATCGAAGCTTCTCGCGTATATCCCGGAAACTAAGGGTAACGAGCGATGGCAACGCGTATAGAGAAAAATTACTCGAAACGACGAGCTTGACGATACATTTGAAGGTTATCGAAATCTCATTTTCCAGATAATCGCCGATTTCTCCTCGAACGATACGGTATTTATTAAATTTGTTAAATTTTCGCCGATTGTTTTATCTCGTCGTTGATATCTAAAGGTCGGGGTTGATATCGAAATGACTAAGGTTATCTATAAAAATGCTTTTTATGTTTATTTACACGTAGATCTTCTTCTTTTAACAATGCCAATGATATATCAACGCAATATCGTAGTGATAAATTATATGTGTAGTAGCGTCAAGATGACCGCATGCCTTTTCATTTTTACGGCTATTACGTGTACCATTATTCAAACGTTATTCTCCAAACAAGAACGAAGACTACTCGAAAGTTTATGTAATTAACGCTGGAGAGAATACTACTTAACGTTACTCGCTACGATCGCTTTCGATTGTTGTTATTCTTTTCTCTTTTTTTTTTGTTTTGTTGAATTTTGTTAAATTTGTCTATCGCTTAAATACAACGAAATTCACGCTACGGCTTATCGGCGTATATCAATAAAAGACTCTTTCCTTTACCGATACGTTTACTCTTTCTACCTTCTTGTTTTTCGATATTCGCGCAACCTACTGGACACGATGTCACGATGACGATGACGAGTAGTTTTCTTTTTTATCGTAAACAATGATTTTTCTTTATATTCTACGAAGAAATTTACCCAACGTACGTATCTTCTCGTCATTAGAGTTAACACTGTTAACGTAATTATGACACATTTTTTAAATTGCCCGTGTCTATGAATTCGTCGAATTGCGTTTCTACTAATACAGCTGCCAATTTGTAACAAACTCTGTTCTACTCCGTAAAGAATACAGATGAAAGTAAAGCTTACGATTACAGGAACTAAAGCCGAATGAAAGATGACTAGAGATACCTCATCGGAAAGTTTACAGTCTACGCGATCAAGTTTTTGGAAATCGTACTACTCGTGGAGAAATTGTTTAAATATTTAATTCGATGACTTATTATTATCGAAAGATCTTTTTCTTAATAAACGTTTTCACGCGAGAGAAAAATTATAATTCAATCGTGTAAAAATCCTAATCGGGAATACGTCTGTTTCGTCGATTCGCTATTTTATATTCCAAAAACTTAATTTAAAAGACTATCGAACGAAAACGTGTATGAGAAGGATTTTGATGGGCTTTTTTAATTGTACGCCAAGTCGTGGCACGAGATTAAAGCATCGTTTAATCAGAATTTTAAGCTACTTTTCCAAAAATCGAGTTGTCTTCGTGAGACTGTTACGACCTATAATTGCTTTAAATATATTCATTACCAAACGCAGTGTCGACATTTACGCGAATGCTCTACAACGTTAAGTTCGTTACGTAACCAGAATGCGCAGTACCTACGTATCTAGAAAAAATGTTTTTTCTGCAGGACGTCATCGAGTATAGCGTTAAAGGTATGTATATTTTTTAATGGATTTAAAATAACAGAAGGAGAAGGTAATATTACGCAGAATAAACGTGTATAAATAACGTATAAGATATTTAATGAAAAATTTCTGGTGTTTATTTCTTTATTTTTATCGGAGGAAAGTATAATTCGTCGTTTTTGAATTTGCTCGATTTGGCACGTGGCTGTAATGTATAATCGAATTATAACATAAGTCGAATGAAAATTTCGTTAACAATTTAATACGTAGGAAAGATACCTTTAAGTTTTATCGTAACATAAAATTCGACGTACGTATACCGCGATTACGTTTGCGGTAAAAGTAACGCGACAACGCGCACTAAACAAACTTTCAACTTACGTATTTTCGTAAATGCGATAGTTTTTTTAAAAAAACATAGGACGTAAAAAAATATTCCGTAATTTTAAGTCACGAAGCGATACGAAATAATACGTTACATGTTTGCCTTAATTTTTATCAACGAATGTTTAGAATTTCCATTTATATATATATATATATATATTTCATTGAAAAATTTGAACAGTCATTGTTACATTAACGATCGCTATTATGTTTCTAATAATTAAGAGCCCGTTATTACATATACCTATAACGAATCACTTGTAAATTGTATCAATTTATCGCGACAGAAATCGATGTAAAGCGGTAGACGTATTTACATAGCTTTGTAAAAACGAGACAGAATCGATACTCAATTTCCCTGGTGTGAGAGAACGAAATACGAAAGAAGCGTATTAGTCGTAAATAAAGCAGTATCTCTTTCAGCAGGAAACGAAAGGTAAAGGTAATCGAAATTCCATAGGAACGATCGTTTTTAATGCTATTTCGAAGTCACTTCTTCCAGCTGGTTACGTTACTATTATTCGGCGAAGACTCAACGAATCGGTTAATTATTTAATCGCTTGTACACGCGATCGATATCAGCAGTCGCAACGACCTAATTTACTGACAATGCATCGAAAAGCGGTCAATGAGAATGCAGTGAAAACGACCCACATTCTATTATATATATATATATACGTATGTATATTAGTTAATACATATATGTAATATATGTATATATATATCATAAAATTCACACTTACGAAAGAGACATCTCGTGTATATATAAATATATATATAAATTTATATATATATTTATATATTTCAATTAGATGGATTAACAGCCGCGGCCGGACCAGCCTGGACACGCGGCAGAAACGTCTTAAACTGTTTCTTCCTATCAACGCTTTTTTTCCTTTTCTATTATTACCTCTTTTTGTTTGTAATTTTTATTTGACTTCGAATCGCATACCGTACGAAAGCGCGGCATGTAATTCGTAGCCGTTGAGTGCAACGTGTACGGCTCGATCCGATAACGATCGTTGCCCCGAATGCTTGCTACTTCGAATTAGTTAGCTTTACCTTTTATTTAGTTCGACTCGTTCGCGTTGCGCATCCGATCGTCCGACGAAACGTTAGTTCTTTCCGGTTAATGCGGTTATCAATTACACGTTTTTACAAGAGACGAAAGCGAAACTCGCGCGAAACTTAACAGTAACAATAACGCGTCGTACGATAGCAATGCGTAAGTTTTATTGGAAAATCCCTGGCAAGTCGCTTCGCTCTTTCAACTTAACATAGGTACGCGCGAGTCTCGATCGTTAGAAGGAAACGCGATGTTTCTATACTCGAGCGCATCCAGTTTTCTCCGTCGATTGTTATCGAATCAGCCAGTACATCCGCTCTCTGGATGCACGCGTGCGTCAGTATGCCAGAAGTATATGCACTCGCGCATATGTAGCCATGTAAGAATACTTTTTTATATACATACACGCGCAAATGCATATAATTTATATTCATTTATGTATCGTTTATATATTACGCGCAGATATTTTAACGTAACAGTTACCGAAGAACCACGGATATGTACAACAGGTATATGCCCGATCGATACAGGGTATACGTTTCTTTCGTACGCACGCAACGTTTATATCCTTCGAATTCGATTCGATCAAAAAAAGGATAATCGAGTGGATCAGCTCAATTTATATTGTTCCCATTGTCTCGTTCCTAACACGACCAATCTTATCGATTTAACGTAGAACAATGCAAAATGTTCACGATCTACGCATTGTCCTTTTCATCTGGGTAACTCGTCGTAACGTTTACTCGAAACGACGATGATAGACGGTTGCGATTCGCCAGACGCGCGTAAGCGTTATCGGATGCGTTTCTTCGTGCCGAACGCGGACGATCGACGTTGTCTTTCTCGGTTCGCTCGCTAGGAACGAGAAAGACAGAATCGTTCGTTTCTACGATTTGACGTTCGAAGTTTCGCGCGATCGGAAGATGAAGAGAGAACGCTTTGACGTTGCCACGCGCGTGCCGAGTACGTACGTTCGTAAAACTCGATCGCGCGTTTTCAAATCTCGTCGGACGTGGATCTCCTTCTCTGCTCTTCGTCCCCTTGGATTTTCCCCTGAAATTTTCCCTCGAATTTCCCCTCGAATTTCGTTTCAATGATTACGGTTTCATCGACGAAAAGAAATCGAATACTGCATCGTTCGCGTTGAAGCGGCGGCCCTTGAGAGTTCGTTGGAAAATACGATTAATGAGCGTGGTCCCAAAAGTTTTAAGAAGTAGTTGTTTCTTTCTAGTGGAATACAACGTAGCTTCCGTCTTATAAATATTCTCAACGGATATTTCGGAATCAGCCGTAAAGAAGGGACTTCCAAGCATAAGCGCCGTTACGATCGACGAATCGACGGAACCACGAGAAAACAATTTCAAAGAATCTTGCCGTTCCATAGCAAAGAGGCTGATCACGCGATACGTCTTATTACCGTAATTCGATCTTCGCAAGTCGACGTTAACGCGTACAACGTCGAAGCTGATACATTCGCCAAGATCAAGACGATTCTAATATTATCTAATATAGATATTTCGTGTAAGTCCGTAGCGACGCGAATGCTTCCGAAACGTTCAAATACGTCGACAAATAATAACTCGATTCGAGAACTATCGCTGTAGCATTCCTGTTCTACCGTTCGAAAGACGTCCGTTGTAATCGATGATATTCTCGATGCGGGGGTTTTATCCGAGACTCAAGGAGCATCGAATTCAACTACAACGTCTAATTACCGTTATTAGTAGCCCTTGTTTGCCTCTATGTATATACAGAATGTTGCACGATAGTTGCTTTACGCTGCGTAAATACTGTTTCGCTGTGTAAATGTGCTCTCTCTCTCTCTCTCTCTCTCTCTGTCGTGTATTTTGTTCGTAAAAAACCTTGCGTTACCACGAAACGTTATCAACGTGGCGTACGTTACCTTTGAACATAGGTTGCACATTAAAATGAATGAAATTAATGCTTAACAACACGTCGAATCGACAGATGCATAGATATCATATAAATACTTATCCAAGTATTTATACCATATATTTATACAATATACATACATACATATACATATTGCAGTTGCAGTTTTGTCCTGCATTTCGATCACATCGAATCGATATAATATTTAGCCGAGATATTTTACAAAATTTCCTACTATTTTCGTAAATTTTTCAAGAACAACGCAAACTCAAGGTAGTTCTTCTTTTTTTTTCATACAGAGTCATACAGAGTTGAATTTTGGTCATCGCGAATCTAACGATGCTTCGACAAAATGAAATTTGTATCGGTTTCTAACGTGATTCGAAGTCGTTCGGAATATCGGTTTTCACGACCATGTTACGAGATGTTACACGTGTATATTACAATGTTACAAAACGCTACAAATGTAGATAACGCAATAAAATAACGTGTTAGCTATTTCTAAGGTAACGCAACAATTTGATACAGCGTAAAAATTGATTTTAACAAAGCTATTAATAGCATTCATTTTAATCGTCGGAAGCGTACACAGTGTTTTATATTTAAATTCAAGGTAGCTTCTTGTCAGGCGTGAACATTTTACCAACTGTATATACAATTCGTTTACCTCGTAATTACACAACAAATACACATGTATTTTTCTTGTTTCCTCTTTTATAAGTTGTACCTAAAATCGATCAATGACTTTACTTTATCGTTAAATGTTAGCAAATTTTGGAATAAAATGCGCGTATTAAAAATGAGTTTTACTTTCGAGTAAGTCTTGTTGCAAACGCGTATATAATTAGCGAACCGCGATATCTATTCTCGTTCGCGATCCAACCATCGAATTTTGCCTTGTCTCGTGATACACGATCGTTAGATAGACTCGAAAAAACGGGTAAAAGATGGATGAATGAAGTGGTGTCGAAAAATATATCAAGGAGCGCAGTAACGTCACGAAGTTATCGAGAAACATTATGTTTGTATAATTCTGGAAACGGCATCCTACAAGACGAAATATCGCGAGTATTTAGCAATTTTTTGAAAGCGCTCTTTTCAAAAAGCGGTTCGCTCGGTCAAACGAAAACGGCCGACAAATTTTCTCACAGAACGACGTTTGCCGCTTCTAGAATCGAAAGGTCAAGAGGAAGATCGTGCTTATTCCGAAATTGTTTGTCACGATTCGTTGAAACTACCGTAAGCTTCGTTAGGATAAATTCGCATGGAAGACAAAGGATAATCTTTAATCGTGACGTTGCTGGTCCACGGTAGATAGATTTTATAATATTTATCTTTTTCGCTAATTATTTCCACCTATTGTATATAGAATTATACCATGAAAATTAGGCAAAAGGTTCCGACGAAAGACTCGAAACCGAGCGGAGCGTAACGATCCTTCGAACGATCGGAACGACGTTTAAGAGTGAAAAACAATCGATACTCCTTGGTCTCATATTTATAATCTATAATTATGTTCGCTTAACACTGCAGGATTAGGGAGGCAATGATTGTAAAAGTAACACCGACGACTCTACTTTCTCGCTTTTTTTCTTCAGTATCAACAACGTTATAATAAATACGACTTCTGAGTAGCAACTTCACGCGAGTTAACGTTTCTCGTTCAAGAGTTTTCGTTACAGAAAATCCGATCGTACGCTTGATTAGATACAATAACCGAGAAGATAATGTAATTATGTACATACATATATTGCCAGCACTGCGTCCTCGTAACAAACGAACAATTAAAACAAATCGCCACAAGTACGTGTTAGACTAGAACGATTCTTGCGCTGAATATGATCCACGCAGTCAATGGGAATATGCAAATAATACTGCTGTTTCATAGATTTTTTTTCTATTTAAATACTAACTGTAACAGGTAATTTACTTTATAACTTTAACTTACTTCATTGCGATTTCGAGAACTTTATCTTACGACGAATCTTTCTGCTAGAATGCTGCTTGCTTAATCGTATTCGTAAAATAATTTAGTTACGTTTTACTTGAAGCGCACCTTTGAAACATCGATGATAGAGCTTGACTAGACGTCTCATTTCTCATTCCTAGATGCAGATTCTTACTTCGTCCGACTTTACTCTGCTACTTTCTTTTCTACGTACAACATGGGACAGGCTGATGTATCAAAGTACCAATAGACGCCAATACGACGAATCTTATCGATCATCGATTGAAGAAATAGCACGTTACGTACTATACAGATTTTGTACGTAGATGAAATAAATAAATCTCGTATTCCATTCGTACGATACTCGTTTCATGTGTTTCGTATATACTTTTTATTTCCTTCGATAAAACCGAAGTCCGAGTAAAAAAAAAGTCACACTGCCTGGCTCTGTATCGTATAAAATGTCGCGTTACAAAGTATATACAAAGAACGAAACAAAGAAAAGAGAAGTAATCTGTTATTGTCGTCAAGTGGACAAGTAGTCTTCTTTCGTATACAAATTTGACGTACAAATAGCGATAGCGACTATTTCAGGAAATAAAGCGACGTTGCTTCGAAAGAAGCGGAGGATAGGTTTTTAAATCTTTTCGGACGAATAATTTTTCACGAAAGAATTCCATAAAAATTTGTGCAGAATGCGCGGTAGGTCGGATAACGTTGCTCGATCGTTAAAGCGCAGCGTAGGAACGTATCCTGATAAGATAAAAACGAATACTTATGACTGCATGATCGACATTCGTACATATATTGATCGTGATATTCATAATAATTAAACATTATTACGAATAAAATAACTTCTAAAAACGAGTCAGGTACTTAAAGTGCAAGCGTTAATTGTTATATTCGAAGGACAAGTTAATATGTACTTATAAAAATGAATCAGGTCCCGTTGTAAGTTACGTTCATTTAGAAATTGTCGGTTGGCTTCGTTCTCGAAATAAAATTAACCGGTTAGGAAATGTTTTTCGCCGTAAAAATTCTCTAGATTCCCGATAAAATTGACGAAGCCCTTTTACCATATTATACGCAAACGTTTCTCGTAAGTACAGGTATATACGTGTATTAAAATATATTATATAGATTAGAAAATATATACATGTATATAAAAAAATATGGAAAAGAGATTTACATTAATTTACAATAAAAAAAAAAATCAATCTAATCGAACTAAACTTTGCGATTAAAAATATTCCTTCTTTGCCATTCTTTGGAAATTATTTGGAAATTCACCGGAATCCGTTGAATTTCACAATTCTAATTTTTCTTCGAGGAACTGACTGGTTTTGGAGATTATGCGAGATTACGCTTTTGTACATTTACGTGATAATACTAATGTGACTAGAGAAGTGCGATCGTAAAATTAAAATCGATTAAGCATACGATAAAATTAATTTTTAGAGTTTAAACGAAGATGAGATAAACATGCTGTTATGTAAAATTTCTGGGCAGCGCGTAAACGTGTTAACAGGATCGTTTGAACGTATCGGTAGCTTGGCTTTCTTTTTTAAAGCTATTCGACTGCAGATACGCGTGGTTTCCAATTTCACGTCCAATCAAACTCTGTCTGAACCGATGATACCGTTTGTCATCAACACCGGTTTTGTCTCCAAGTAACGGTTTAAAGACTCAGATTATGCGGAATCAAGAAGCAGTGTCGAGTATAATTAGGCATCTTTTCGCTTATTTATCATTTATATCGTAACGTTTGAATGCTGATTACTGGTGGACTTTTTTTTTTCTTTTTTTCGAAACGATACGAACGATATTCGAGGTTTCTTTCGTCAAACATCGCCTCAAAAGCGTCGGATAATTTCGCATTTGCCTTCCGAAGATTCGATTTACCTCGAATGCAATGATTTATCGTAACTTACGGTTGGTTTTTCCGAGTGGCGAAGATCGATGAAATCGATGTCGCCCTTGACTGCCACTATGACTTCCAAACCCTTAATTTTCTTAAGGATACCTTCTTCAAGTGAAGGGCCGCGTTTAAAATATCAGACTCGCGAATATCTTCGCCATCGGAGTGAACTTCCCTCCTACGACCGTGCATCAGTAGACGATGTCTCAATCCTCTGGAAGTTGGATCGGAAAGCGCTTCCGAGACAGGCATCTTCTCCTTGCTGGAACCTGGCAAGGAGACCGATCTTCCTACGGAAAAACCTTTGCTGAGCCTATCCAAGGTGGCTGGCAACAGATGCCGCCTCGGTATTGCTTGTTCTCTTTCTCTCAGAATGAATCTTCCGAGCGTCTTCCAAAAGGCTTGAGTACTGTACACGTTCTCCTCGTCGCGTAAAACTCTCAATTGTCGACTGCCGCTACCAACGGCTCCGGCTCCTCCCCATTCCAGTTCTTCCACCAAAGCAAACTTCATCGGATCCTCCATTCTTCTGGCCTTCACTAAAGCCTGAGCCAGAACATCTTGAGCAGAGCTGCTTACAGGAACGCGAAGTATCGCGTACGGTATATCCGGCGAAACGTTATAAATGCAAACTAAGAAGGTGTCAGCTTCGTCCCAGATATGCGTGGATGTGTCTCTTTCGGAGTCGAGCTTCGAGTGTCCAGCTGTACTCCTTATAGAAGCCAGCCAGGCTCTGCTGCTAGGATCATCGCCTACCCTCTTCAAGAGGAAACGCCCCTGCCCCTTCCATAAAGCCTGCGCTTGCAACGGGTGCTCCGTTGGATCTAACACGCGTTGAGTCGGAAGTTCTTCCCTGTCTCTCTTCTCCCAACCACGAGAGACCTCTTCCACCAAAATATATTCGTCGACCCGATCCGCGGATATTCCAGCTTTCTGAAGAGCTTGTAACATTACCTCTTGCGTCGTACTATCCTGCGTGACTTTTAATATAGTGTACGGTTCCTCCGGTATCACGTGATAAACCATTAGGAAGAACATTCTTCTCTTCAGCGTCACTCCACCTAACCCAGGATCCACCGTGGTCAATTTTTCCGGTTCCTTACCCGATGACGGCCGCTTCGACGACTCTTTGTGATCACGGCAACACGTGTTGTAATCGAGACTCTCCTCTTCCAAACGGGAATAAATGAACAGCGTGGACAGAGCCAAAGGTTTGTTTTTACAGGAACGCAAACGTACGTGTCTGTAGCCGGGCTTCAAGCATTTCAGCGGAATGACCCTTTGGGCGATCAAATGATGGGAACTTGCTTCGACGATGCCGAAACGCAGAAAGGCAAGGTCTTTGAACATTACTTGAAAGCAAAATTTCTCGTTCCAAATAGGATTCAGCGCGTTGTTTTGTATTATTTTCGTTTTATGCTTGGCACAGTCGATCGGAATGCCGACTAGTTCGATTTCGACGTACGTGCTGGCGACGAAATTTGTTGGGGAAACATACTGGCCAGAGACTATTGAAAGCGTCAGGTGTGCCGAATGTAGCCCGTCGAATTCTTTATCCCAAGGATTGAAGCGTCTAGAAACGAGTTTCGTATTTTAGGCAAGCGTGCGTTAAAAGTCGGAGAGATATATGTATGTTTCGATATACTTCGATGTATTTCAATTTTTCATATTTCTACCAGAGTTTGTTATCACTAGAATTCCAAACTTAAAGATTTGAAAATCCTAACAAGAAGTCGAGCACGATTCTCGATAATAACGAAATGTCCAAATTAAATCAAAATCGTTCATAAATTCGATAAATTCGACAAATTCAATAAAATTTACGGAGATATTTGAACTATTCTTAATACGGAAGCAATTTATCGTTAATAATAGAAAATTATCGAATCGTAGGACAATGCTCTCGCATTGAAATAGTTACGAATATATCCATTTTGCAATAATTCGAACGAATGGAAGATTTTACAGAAAGGGGGATACATATTTCCGTGCATACCTATACATCATATGGCCTTTGTCCCACATAACCGAAGGTTTCCTAACGTATCCACATTGCCCATTTTGCTCGAACATAGCGGCGTTTAAATTTAATCCGGCGTCGTCGGTTTGGTAATTTAGTGCTACCATTTGAATACCAAAGGCCCAGAAGATCACGGGATTGAAATTTGTCGAATCAATACGCATTCCAGCCGGATACGTTCGAATTAACTGAGTTTCTGCATGGGCGACAACCCCTAGAGGTTGTTTTCTGCAAATCTTCTTCGCTGTGCTTTCATTCAACGAGGAACATTGAAAGCAGGCTGGAACTCCGCGCGTGAATCTGAAATATTTTACGACATTATCGAACATCTATAGGTAAAAATTCCGAATCTTGCGTAAGTAAGTACTGCGTAAGTAACGACGGAATTGCAAAATCATTCGAATAACGTACACGGTTCAAATGCTATCAAGAGTTCACTAGAAACGATCTATTAAGACGTTGAGGTTCGAGCGGTAGCGTATACGTCGCGATTCGTTTCAACGATCAACGTTACGTCGAATTACGATAGAAAACCAACCTGAAGAGATTTTCGATATTGCTGCCGCCGCTTGCGAGCGAAGCCGACGTCGATAAAGACTGTGGCGATCCGGAAGAGGCACCGATGCTGGTAGCTCCTATTCCAGCGATGCTGTGTCTCTGAACCGGTCCAGTGTGCGGTTGATGTCGCACCTTCCCAGTGGCCGTTGTTCCTGGCGTAGTGTTCAGCCCGCGAAATTTAATAGCTTGCAAGTAAATCACCAAATCCGAAAGTTCTTTGGCAATTTGGCTACTTTGTTTTTGCGACTTATCGTCGACCGCGGAATCTGACTTTAATCGACCATGGGGCACCTGCATCCCACCCAAATACCTTTCGTAGCTGGAAATGGAGTTATCTGGAAGGTAAAACTTTCGCGTTAGGTCGCTCGTTAATTAAGTAATTGGTTAAGTTCTTGTGCTCGATAGTTTCGGATTAGTTTGTACGATGGCTTTGACGTAACTAAGTTACTGCTAGGTGAACGGAAAAATAACTGCAGTTGCTTCGCCGCTCGCATTAAATTACCTGCGCTGTAGCAACATTATTGTATTATCGTAAAATATCACTCAACGAGAATTTTCCTTTACAAGAAAGAGATATTTCGAATTTTTAAGCGTGTAATAAATCGCGATTTACGAAATACGTAGGATATCCGCTTGAACGAAACACGGATCAGCTGTGTTTTAAGATAAATATCGCCGTAGTTAATTAAGAGAACTAGGAGTAGAACATTTACCATCGATATTGTCGTCTTCGTCGTCATCTTCCTCATCGTCGTCGTCTTCGCTAAAATATTCGACGACGGAAGCGCTGCTTACGTCGGTACGCATTTGTTTCATAGACGAAGCTCGATCGGACATGAGCATTTTTCCACGATGACTCAAGGGAGCGTGCGTCAAAGGACCAGCGGGTTCTACCACCATCTTCTTGTTTTTGATTAATATTCGGTAGCGCAATTGCGACGGCGATGGCAGTTGAGGGTCGTCGCTAAAGTCCGTCTCAAACAGGAACTTTGTCACCAGTTTTTCTCCAAATACCGACTGAAACAGAGTTCGCGTAACTTTGCTTCTCAAAGTTGCTTTCGTTTTTCTACAAAAATATCCCTGCTACGTGAAACGTCACGCGCAGGTAAAAGAGGTACGAATCGCGAAACTTTGACGAAAGAAAATCGACGACGGAAAATTTGCTTGGCGATCGATATCGTTGCGCTAAAATCGACGGAATAATATCATTTTTATATTAAATCGTATAGACATTGACGCGAAAGCAGAGTTCATTTCGTCGTCGATTTCGAAATATTTGCCTCGCGATTTATAAACGACGACGGAAACAGAAAGTAGATAAGAAATTAATTAACGGACTGTGTCATTGTTGTAACGACGCTCGCTTCGTTTCGCTCGGCATCGCTCGTTGTCCGAGTACACGCGATTAATCGAATGTTTGAAATAATAAAAGATAACGTACTTGAAATATTTGGGCCATTCGAGCTTGTTGACTCTGCGAACAATGATTCTCGATGGAGAGAATCACGGGATATGGAGAACTGACGAAAGCACTTCTATCAATCGCCTCTACGACCAAGCGAAATGGTATCTTGGTAGTGAAGGTGTGACCATGGTAAATAACGGGAGAGCCATCATCGCCATCCCAGCAATCCAACTCTACACACCTACATCCTGTTAGTAGTACCTGCAAAATCAACTTACCGTCACATCGAGTATTTTACCTCGTAGATTTCACCTACTGCAAATACATCGAAATCCCTTCAACGTTTCGCGAACGAAAACCGGATTACATGTTTTTTTATACAAATAACCAATTGAGAGAAATAATACGAATACTTTTTTAATTATCGAAATACGGCAACTAATATCTCGCGATATCGTACAAATCGGGAACAAAGCGCAAAAAAAACGCGCGTTACACAATTTTATAATGAAAAAAAGCAACAAGTAGGTTCTGTATATTAAAAAATGTCTTTTTCTTAATTGCACGACCGTTTCTCCGAGATCGTATCGCGTATTTCACATTTGCGCGATAGAGATCATCGTTGAAAAGACGAGACCAAGCTTTCGTTTACCTGAGAGTAAAGCTGCACCGAAGATTCTCCCTTGAGTTGATGGCCAGTTAAATAAGTATTATGCGAGCTAGCGATGTAATACTGGGACAATGGCTGCTGCATTTCAGTCTCGAACGGCGTCGCATACTCGTTTGGGAAGGCATAATTGTCCTTGTCCATCATGTACCGTGCAAAGCCCTCGAAAGACAAACACCATTGTGTACGTAGTCCTGGGTCCGGTTCGTGTCGCTGGAATCAGAGCAAATCGTCTCGGTTGATCGTGCTACTCGCTATATCTTTCTACGCCATTGTATCGCACGGCACGACCTCGGGATAACAGCAGTTTGTCATAACTGTTACGCATCCTAGTTTCAAGCAATCGAGTACCGCGCTATGCTGCTCGCTGATCTGGGCGAATATCGCGGCTTATAATTCGGTAATCGACACGATCGAACTCGAGACGAACTATGAGAAAGCAGCGATAGGTTGTTTTAAATCTTCGCGTACCTTAACCAGCGCCTTGATCTCGTCGTCGGTTAGTTTTTCTTGCTGCCGAGATTCCAAAAACTTAGTGAACGTCGCCAGGGTGATAACTTGCGATTTCGAAGTGTCAACGCCAGAACAATTATTAACGATGCTAGCTGCAGCCACCGCGTCGAAAACTTGTTTCTTTTGAAGATTGCTGCTGGTTTTGTACTCGTGACAGTCTATGGAGTTATTTCTCGTCAAGAGACCTGTTTAAAAAATATTTGCATATTTATAATGCCGTCGACGTGCAAACAGATAGAAACGATACGACGTTGTTTTTATCAAAACTTAACTTTCTAAACACCTTACGTCTTAAATGATTATTTCTATACATCTTTGTCGAAAACAAATAAGCGTACACTGACATTTTCTTCCGCCAATGAGACGATTGCGATCATCTTTCAGCTAAGTTAATTGATTTATTAAACAATTTATCGTTACACGTACAGAATGGACTAATGGCTTTTGGTCGTTTCAAGTATCTTTTTTATATTTAGACATACGATAAAACTTTATTTACGAAAATTGTGCCATGTTACGTAATACGTCAGGAATAATTTCTTTTTCTTATAGTCCTTTTTACTTCCAGCGGAGCAACGAATGTTCGAACGATCTCAACGAACGATACGAGATAGTTCGATATTAAACAAAGCGTTTAAAGTTGCGTGTATTTGCGTCGACGTTAACATCGCGACTTAAGAATCGATCATTTTCGATTTGGGCATATGCCACATGAGAAAGTGTAGCTCGTAGTTTCAGATCTTGGAAAAATCTTTCACGAAAGAATTATTACTGAGACATTACGATATCGTACAACCGTGGTAAATAAAAGTTTTCACGTAGAAACATAACGAAGCACATTAAGGTGACTAAAATTATCAGTCTGTTTTGCATGTTTGTCTATACGTAAGAAAAATCAGGTATTAAACAGAATTCAAATAAAAATATGCTAAAATACTTTAGACAATGTATTTATGTAACTCATTTATAAAGTCTTTACGATACATGATAAACTGCTTTATTCGATCAACTTTATGCTAGAGCGTGATACAAAAATATCTGTAGCATAAATTATATAGTCTATGTTTATCCTCTAGACTTTCATATAGTATAATTTCATTATTTTATATTAAATACTAATCTATTCTATTCGTTGCATACAAATTCATACTCTGTTATTTAATATATTTTTATAGGTCTATTTTCTTCTAACAGTTACAGCAGGTATATCAGATCGGTCTATACAAGATGGGTATAAGAAAACAACGAGAAAGACACAAAGCTAAATCCACTGCAACGTGCGATGTACCTATTTGGTGTTAGTTCGTACGATCTCTTGCCAGTCCGATGATATAGCTTTTCGATCGCGATGATCTCAATGATTCGTGAGATCGCTTTTACGTATCACGTGTCTTTAACGAGCGAACAAAGCTTTCCGCTAATCTGATATACGTATGCGTGACGTGTGTGACGTGTATGTATGTACAAATTAACAGTAATCACTCTCGTTACAATATAAGTTTGAAAATAATTAAATACGATTTAAAAAGCGAAACAAAAGTATATTTTACCCAATACAGATTTTCGTTGTATGTAAATACATTTAAAAGCAACGGTTTACTTTTCAAACGAAACGTTAAATCATAGATAGAAAGAAAATTAAAATAAAATCACACGTATAGAGTAGGTTCGTAAGTGGAGATTTAAACGAAATTAGGTTTAGAATTCGAAAATATTCAGTGGTGGAAACTGACCGATTCGTTGAGGGGTTGCGTCACTGGTTTGCCTCAACACAGGCGGCCGTACGTTAAAGTCTCTCAAAGAACCGTCGCTTTGACTACGACAAGTGATCGCCAGTTGGCCGAATAGGTCGCGTAAATCCTTTCTTGCTCTCAGGCTGAACGAACGGAACAACGCGACAAACTCGACGAAGTTCAACTGAGTTTCATACATTATGGAAGTGGCACGTGCCTTCGCTTGCCAAGGTGCTTCCACTCCACCTGACATTCCAGATCCGTTTTTATCCTTGTCCCTGGCGACGCATAATAGGCTGTGTAAATATCGTTTGAAAGGAAACATGTTATTTCAGTAGACTTTATAGAAATTTAAGAGTTTTAAGAATAAGCTGCAAATTATGGACGATACTCGTTTTTGTAAATGTCAACATTTTTGTACGATGCTAACTCTTCTCGCCACATATGTACGCACGTTTAATAATTTATAGTACAGCGAGTTTACAGTCCGAGCGTTGTCAAAATTACGAAATATTTAATACAGTTTAGTTTAGTTTTGGGTTACGTTAAGTCTCAGCTTTTCCCACATATTACAAATTTCTTCGTACTCGATACACGCGTTCTTATCGCGTTGATCGTTCAATCAATTATAAATTAATATAATTTTGATTGCAATATTTGTACATGGTAAAGGGTCGGACGAGAAGAGACAAAGAGACGATTTTTACATTTTAGTAATGTTTTTCGTAGGTAGGTTTGGTTACCTTATTGAAAAATAAATAACGAATTATGATTTTATTCCATGCTATGATTCAATACTTGACCGAATATCTCATAAACGCGTAAAGATCCGCAGTTTGGCTGTTACGAATGAATACACGTTTTGAAAATCAAATACCAATATCGATAATCTTTTATCAGAAATTGTATGAAAAAATACGAGTTTAAATTGAATACAAATAAACGGAACGAACTTTTCATTCGGTTCGTTGAAAGAAAAATTAATTTCCATTAATTACTTTGCAGAAGGTACGTATGTATAATATAGTTCTGCGATTTAATTAGCTCGCAACGCAAAGAACCCGCTAGAGATACACGAGCGGAAGGCATTTCTCTATCTCTTGACATTGCAGCTCCAGCGAATAATAGCGTGCGATTAATCGACTGCGCGAAAGTAATCGACATCTACGAAGAATTTTAGAGACGAAGTCTAGTTGTTCTACTTCGCTTGCTTCTGTCGAATTCCTTATAAGACTGAAAATTATCGGAATCCTTACCTTTGAAAGCTGGAGTAAGGCAAGTTGGAACTAATAATTCGTTCGGCGGATCCAGGAGGACTACGTGGGGGAACTCGATCTCTGCTGGACCGTGGAGATGCTGGTATGATTCTCGTCAAGGATTCTCTACTACCCGTAATATGCCGAGAAGGGACCACTGTTAAGCCTCCATCCGGAGACGAAGTGTCATACTGTTTTAGGCTTAGATCCTGTTTTAAATAATCACGTGCGATTCTTTAGTTTAGTTCTGGCTCTAATCTGACACAGGGACTTGTCTTTTTTATAAAGATTACTCGATCGACTTTGAATCGAACTGGCCACCTCGTCACGGTTATCAATGACTTTATAGAGTATGTTAATTTACGAAATTATATCACGATGTACCGTAACTTTGCTACTCGTACGTGTTAAATATTTATTCTTTATTTTTGGAAAGACGTACGTAATATTTGTACTCTTCGCACGCACACGCATGCGAAAAGCTTTCGCGTCGATCGAGCGATCGAACGGCGATCTTGGTATACTTTTGCAAGGAAACTTTTTCAAACGACAAGTTCCCCCGTCTTCTTCATTTTTTGTCTTTTGTTACCGTATAAATCTTTGATCGAACAAACCTTTGTTAACGCATGAATATTGCCGATAGATTTCGTTTTTTTCCCTTTAACGTTTCGTTTGCGGAGAGCGCTGCTGCTCGTCGGCGAAAGCGTGCCGATACTTTCAGTCGTGGACCAGTCGCGACCGCCAAAAGCTCTAATAGCATCAGCTGTCATTGGCTCGATACATCCATCCTCGAAATAAAGCTGAAGGTATTTTTCTTTTAACCATCGCGATCTACGATCTGTTAGTTGTTGTTGCCGTTTCAGGCCTCGTAGTATCCAACAAAGACCCATGTACCAAATTCTGAAAAAGAAAACACAGCACCTTCCGTCAAATTTATTTATATTACATTCCACGACGTTACCAGCGCAACTATATCTCTTTATTTAATACCGTTAAAAAAGATACACAATCGTTCGTATATAACGCCGCTCGCTATAGAGTCTTTATCCGATATTATCGAATCGTTGATACGAATCATGTCAAGAGGGAAAGAGAAAGAACAACGACGCGGTAATAACTCTTTCGATAGTAGTTCCCTTTTTTAGCAGTACTATATTTGTCAATTTAGGTAAACTCGAGAAAATGGCTATTCCGTGCACGATTCGCAAGCTGCAGTAGTAACGTTGGATAAAGGTTTGCCGTAACGGTATATTCCCTGGAAAAAACGAGCGGAGCGTTTCGCTGATCTAGAGCTAATGCATCTTTTCCTCTAACGTGATCCAAAGGTAACTTTTCGCGAGGTCTATTGTTATAAATTTAGCTGGTATCCGCGCTGGAAATTTACCGTCGAGCGTAACTTTGCTAAAACAGCTTCGAGCTATGCTTTTGAATATGCAAAACTCGAAATTTGCAACATTTAAATTACAAACAATTTTCCCCATAAAATTAAATAGTTAATCTCCGTAATCACGATTTAATTAACAGTCGTTCGTATCATTACGCTTTGTTATTTTAGGTTTCTTCGTTATTCAATTATTCACGAAAATGAAATCGGAAAGTATCGGAACGGATCAAGTATGTTTACCGAATTATACCATCGAAATACAGTTTCATTTGTTCGACTCTTTTTACCAAAATATCGTTTGTCAAGTTTAAAAATATATCACGCTTTTAGAACGGTTGCTTGAGATTGACAAATATTATAAAAAATAAATAATTAATTTCCACCGTATAATTTAAAGTTATTTCGTTGACCACGTATCTCGGTCGATGTTCAATTACTTTTGCAATTTTCTTCCGTTCTCTCGCGATATTTCCTTTTATCTATTTTCGAACGCGTCGAATAAATTTCGTCGAAACTGGTTTCCTACGTTCTACTATTCTGTTCGATATTGCTTTATATCACATACATATATACGATACCGTGGAAATCACAGAGCCACGCTACTTACTTGCTAAGCGCAGGAGGGCAAAGGAGAAAGATCAGTCGATTGTCCGGCAGACTGGAGCCGTACATAAGGCCGATACATGAATCGGATCCAGATAGACCGTATCTCTTGTAAATGCTTCTGAGGTCGGTCTCTCTGTCCCGATCGCAACAGCCGATCATGACTTCCTTGACGGAGCTCAGGTCCAAAAATCCCTCTTCCAGCGTCACGGAAGCGCAGTCCGTCTGTTGCATGGTATATCTCCCTACTAAACCGGCCGATACCACGTCTTCTGGATTGGCAGTTAGCGAAAAATCTGCAGAAGCTGTACCTCCCAGCTGGGCAGTTTTCAATGGACTCCAGGGTGGCTTTTCCCACACGAAGGTACCGCAAGCGCGATCCACTCGCGCGAATACTAAGGCCGTCCTCGTCGTACCGCCTTCGCAGTCCCAATGCACCAACGTTGTCCCGTGATGCAATACCTGGTGGAATCGAGTTTTCGTATTATATACCATCTAAATATCGTATTATCCGATTAAAAGAAACACGGCAGGAACACGGTAAGAACTTTTTCGTTTATTTTTCCATTTAGACGTCACCCGATGGTTAAGATAGTTGGAAAAAGAAGAAATTTTTGCTTGGTCCAAGATACAAGCCTGCCAAAAATAGGCGATAGATCTATGAAATTTTATAATTAAGCGTTGAAACGTTCGTTCGATACGGTGCAAAAATACATAATACGATACGCAACATATTTAGTCTCGCGATAGATACAAAAGCAACTTTGGTACGGACGATGAAAGCACATACATACATACATACATACATGCATATACGTACGTAACAGTCAATTTCGAAAATATAGTTTCAAGGAAAATGCATTTACGCGATGTATCTCGGATCTTTGCAGTATCGTTAATATTACAAATTTTCCTGTTTCTTTTTACTCGAGTCGTAGAAATGTTCTTTTTGTTGCGTACGAAACAAAATGCCGTAATGAGATTGCAGTTTCTCCAGAAGAGCATTCGGTAAATTGTCGTAGCATTGTGGAATGAAATAACACGCGGACGAATATTCGTACCTGAAAATCATTCAAGCCACAAGGCAACTATCGTTTGACAAACGTTTCCTTGCTAATCTTCATACGGTGGAAATTTTACAAACTTCCGCCAGTCGATCGTCCAGACGTTCGACGACAAGTCCTTCGGTTTCTCTCGCTTTATCGTCTCAGGCGATAATTTCTCGGATCAGTTGATTCGAGAGACGATCGTATTTAAATTATTCGTTGAAAATTCATCAGGATCGGTATCTCGGCGAAGGAAATGTAACGAAAGCCCGAGGAATCGCCACGAAAATCTCTTCGCGCGATTCCACCGATTATAATCTCTGGCTATTAAATCGTTTTAGCGGTATCTGTGCAGTTGTG